TGCAAAGTGCATCAAGACATAAATGTACTTGCAACAGAGTCGAATAACACAACTACGTTACCAACAGCTCAATTAAAATTAATTACCAAAGCATCTAGAATTTCCACTCTTGGTCTCTTTGACCAAGGTTCGCAGAAAACCTTTATTTCTCAACAGCTAGTTGATCAGTTGAAACTATTGCCTATTGCTCGAGTGAATTTGAATATCTCTGGATTCCTAACCAACAGTGTCCCTCGTGACTACCAGGTTGTTAGTCTTGGTACGTTTAGGAGGCTGCACCAGCCCAATTCAAGCCATAGTCGTTGACAAGATCCCTTCAGATTTACATGTTACAGGTCTTGCTCAAACAGTCAAATTTCTTAAATGCAGCAGTATTAGGCTAGCGGATCATAAAATAAATACAGACTGTCTCACCGATGTAGGTATTCTTATTGGAGCTGACTATTACTATAGATTTATTACTGGATGTACCAGGCAACGAGGTGTAAACTTGTTACTGTCAGCTGGGGTAAACTACTCACAGGACTGGTGTTGATCCAACAACATTCTAAGTCTACTAGTAATCAACCAACTAATTCAATAGTGGCGTGACTAGGCCTAGAGCAGTCACCACTACATGACAGACGAAACCGAAGATGAGGAGTCCAATCCCACTGTTCACAAATTATGGGATTTGGACACCTTAGGCATAGTCCCTGATCAACTCAGTCCAGATGACGTATCAGCAATATCTTGATACTGTGATTTTCTAAGATAATCAATATTGGGTGAGACTCCTGTGGAAGCTGAACCACCCACAGCTTCCGGTAAATTATTTAATGGCCTCAACCCAATTAAATTCTCAATTAGCTAGGCTACAGAAGCAACCAGATAAATTGCAACTGTATCATGCTTTGATACAGCAACAACTTGCTAACAAATTTATAGAAGTTGTTGAAGAAGACAATCATAAAACAGGCCATTATTTGCCACATCATGCTGTCCTGAAAGATTCAGTTACAACACCAATCAGGATTGTATTTAATTGTAGTGCCAAATTAAAGGCAGATAGTGTGTCACTAAATGATTGTCTACAAACTGGACCTAGCCTAACCCAAAGACTCCAAGATGTCTTATTACGATTTTACTCTGGTGTTTTCGCCTATACAGCCGACATTAGTAAAGCCTTTTTAAGAGTAGGCTTACAAGCGACGGATCGTGATTTTACTAAATTTCTCTGGGTGAAAGATCCACAGGATCCTAATAGCGAAATCATTACTTATAGATTTGCCTCAGTACTGTTCGGAGCGACATCTTCACCATTCTTACTCCAGGCTACTCTGGATACACATCTTAAGAAGTCTAATAGCCCCTACAAGACTGAGATTAGCAACAATTTATACGGTGACAGTTTTCAAGGAACCACTAATGATGAGAATAAACTAGTGGAAATCTACCATGAGGCTAATCGTGAACTGTTGGGAGCTAACATGCCTCTACAGTCGTGGGCCTCCAATAATAAAGAACTAAACCAAATAATCGAGGAAGAATTCTCTGATTATAATGTACGTCACAGATTGAAAGTCTTAGGTATGGAATGGAATACTTCCACAGACAAATTGAATATCAAGTCAGTGGAGATCAAACATTCACCCCTAACCATGAGAAAACTACTCTCCCATGTCAGCAAGCCATTTGACCCTTTAGGCCTACTCAGTCCTATTCTAATTAAGGGTAAACTCCTTATGCAGGAATGCTGGCAAAGGAATATGGGGTGGGATAAAACGTTGCCGGAGGATCTCCAAGAAAAATGGCAGCAGTTAATTCCTGATTACAACAAACTTAGTATTCTACAGTTTCCTCGAAATGCCTTAGGACTAAATTTACCCACAAATTTACATGTATTCTGCGATGCTTCAGGCAAAGCGTATGGCTCAGTAGCCTATCTAGTTAATACTCAACAATCATTTTTGCTTACATCGGCCGAGCAGACAGCACGCTAAGGCAAGGCAAAGTAGCCCCTGTTACCCAGTAAAATAGGTACCTGGGTGTTAGTCAGCTGTCACGGGCTGCTTCCTGGGGGTGGAGGCCTGGGCCGCAGGGACACTAAAAAAGCCCTGAAATCATCTCAAGATAACCTCAAGAAGGCAAGGGTAGCCCTGATAAAAAGGAGGTCACTACCCCAAATGGAATTTACTGCCTTATTAGTAGGTGTTAGACTGGCTCATTGCCTGATCAAAACCCTCAGTAATGTTCACCTTGGTGACATAGTAGTGTGGTCAGACAGTGAGGCCGTATTGCAGTGGGTAAAAAACGACAACAACAAAACTCCCTACGTTAGCAATCGAGTAAGGGAAATTCGAGAATTGTCTGCTGGTTATAAATTAAGACATGTCCCGACCAAGGACAATCCAGCTGACTATTTATCCAGAGGTTTGACTTTAAAGCAATTACTTAAAACCGAGATGTGGTTTAATGGACCTCAATGGCTAGTTAGTGGTCAGTGGCCCCCAACAGAAGCCACAAGTCATTGGGACCAACGTCACTATCCTTGTTGTGGATCCAGAACCCCCTCCAACTTTAGCTATCAATCCTCATCGTTATTCCAATTTAAGCAAATTACTAAGAGTTACAGAAATGGTATTTGATTTCATCAACAAGATGGGGATATGGGGATCAAGTATCGATTTCCTAGTTCCATCAAATATTGGGTCAAACAAGCTCAACAAGAGACTTATGGGAAAGATTATGAACATCTCTCAGATAAGTCTCTGGGTATCTGGCTTGACTCAGTCAACTATAACATTTTGAAATGCAGCAGATGTCTGCTTCACGCTGAAATAAATTTAGATACGAAGAATCCTATACTTCTTCCACGTCACCACATCATTACTAAACTCATAGTTTTACATTACCATGAGCATAATACATTGCATGGTGGAGTATTAGATACTCTTACTGAAATCAGACAACGTTTTTGGCTTCCACAAGGTCGCCAAATTGTCAAATCTTTAATCAAGTCTTGGGAAATCTGCAAGAGATATGATGCTCGAGTGCGTCCGTATCCAGGTCAACAGCCCCTACCTAAGGAGCGAGTCGCCCACCTTTGTCCCTTTTAAACCACAGGTTTCGACTATACAGGAGCACTAATTTTAACAGGCACACCGGACAAAATTCCAGGGAAAACCTACATTTGCCTTTTCTCGTGTGCTACCACACGTGGAGTACATTTAGAAGTCACTTCTGACACGAGTGCAGAAGCCTTTCTGCAAGCCTTTCGCAGATTTGCTGCACGAAGATCTTGCCCAAAATTAATGATCTCAGATAATAGATCTAACTTTGTGGCAGGAGAAGCTTGCTTACAAGAAATATGAAACCATCCAGAAGTACACTCTGTGCTAAACAGAGACAATGCTACTGGAAATTTATCCCTCCAAGAGCACCATTGCATGGCGGTTTTTACGAAAGAATGGTGGGAACTGTTAAGAAATGCCTAAGAAAAACCTTACACCAGCAGAAAATTAATCTCACCGAATTACAGACCCTTGTCATGGAAATTGAAGCACGAGTCAACAACAAACCTCTAACCTACTTATCAGAAGATTTCTCCCAAAGAGAACCCCTAAGCCCCTCTCATTTCATTCATGGTGGTCTTCTGAACCCTCTAATATCTCTTGGAGACGAGGATCCAGCTGACCCTTCATGTGTCAAAGCGAGTGACTTGGTGGAGAGTTATAGACACCTTTCAAGAGTAACAGAGAAATGGAATGAGGTCTGGACACGTGAATATTTAACTGCATTAAGAGAATATTATTATGGAGCTGCAAACCCATACAATAAAGTTCAACTTAAACCAGGTGATCTTGTTCTAGTAGACAGTGATGGACCCAGGTCAGATTGGCCTATAGGTAAAATTGTTGACATCCATCCTGACCGCCATGACATTTTACGAATTGTTAAAGTTCAGTGTCGATGCACTACTACCTTGAAAACACTACAAAGATTAGTACCTTTAGAGTTAGCAGAACACGAGTGTTCTACAGATATACTTGCAATCCAAGTTTCAGAGAACAATGATTCTACTCAACCGAGCGCAAGACCATCAAGAGTCGCTGCTCAGAACTGCAAACAGTAATTTAACAATATTTTGATTCTATTCAAGAGTAGATAACTTATCATTTAAGCTTTAGGTGACCATGCTGATGCAGTGATGAGTTGATGTCCAGTAATTAGATAGTTACGAGTCATAGTGACCCTGGACAGTAGCCTCACTGTATTGATGAGGTCTCCTTAATCCTAAATCATCCAATTATTCACAATTTATTTTTTGATAATATCATTCTGTTTCTTACAAAAGAATTATCCAATAATTTCAATGTTTATTTACGTCCCCATGTTGACTTAGAGTCATCTACCACAGATTCAGGACATTCGTTAGGTGCGTACTAACCTACTAACCCATGAATATAACTGCAGGATAGAGAAACAGGTGTACGTTAATACTAATACCTGAACTACGACCCGAGTTTTCTCCCCCCGGAGTTATGTTGGAAATAACCGACAGTTCTATACATCTTTGTATTTTATACAACCTTTGTATTAACCACAAGTAGTTACTAAAATTACTAACTTGTAGATTTAATCATCATCATGATTTATTTTAAACATGTTGCCAGATTCTTCCTAGTCAGAGTGACGACGCGAGGAACGACAGGCAGAAACATGAATTCTCTCCACATTTAGTTGGATTTATAACAGAGTTCAGTTTATCATTTCCTTTACTAAAATAGTTACTTACTAATAACTTTAATTTCGTAGTATACTGCTACTTACTGGAACTCCTTTATTTAGTTGATATTAAACATTCTAGAGGAAATTATTTTAATATAAATGATTTCACCTTAATTTCCTCGATTAGCTTCCCAACTTTAATATGCCAGTTTATGTTACGCAAAATTCTATTTTATCACAGAAGAATTTAATGTGATATTAATACTCGTCACCACCTCTTCCTTCCTTAGCGGCTCGGCAGCTAGGTTTATCTGTTTGTTATCATGTGGCCACAGTTAACATTTAGACTAGCAGTCGTTAGGCCGAATGCAAAATAATACAATCCTGTACGTGTCTTAAGTAAATTTACCATCTAAATAGATAATTAATTTCAGTATTTACTCCAAAGAGAATTACAGTACTTGAACATAAATTGCTCAGATATTAGCTGATAATTTCCATTGTTATCCTCATGATATAGGATTTATTTGTAGTTACTTATTATGTAGAAGATTTCTACAATGTAATTGCCTTTCAGTACCAAGGCGACACCAACCGAGGTGCTAGGCTTCCCCACCGTTTCGTGCAACAATTTGCCCTATGCAACACGTCGTCGGTGGAGCGTAGCAACTGATTACACCTCACTAGATTTACAGCTAAGCTGTCCCTTTTTTATCTGTAGCAAAAACTGTAGTTACAGTAGTGATCTCTCAAAGGGATCAATTACACTAACACATTGATTTACTGATGCTATTGAACATTTCAGTAGTATATTGAGGTGCATTTACCTCCAACTAATAATATATAGTCAACCTTGTTTACTTTCATATTTGATTTACTCTGGTGAAGAACCAGCACCAGAATAATGCTAGGGATGTATTCATCTTTTAGCATGTAACCCCCCAATTTTGTGTAAGTTAATTTGACTCCATTTATATAAGAATTACAATCTTACTAAGATCCATAGGACACTAGTTCTTGGGATCAGTTTTTCCACTGCTTTATTTTGTTTTCCACTTTTTCTCAAAAAGTGGTGGTCCTTCATAGCTACCGAAGTATATATTTAATTATTAGTTCTCAGAACCCAAAACAATAGTTATTGGAGTCAGATTTTCCTCCACATCTATCTCCTGAGGCACATATAAATAGGATAACGACAGCAGCGTACTCTACACTGGCAAAAGTTAGAACGTCATTCAGAAACCTAAGTAAGGAGGCATTTAGGGCGCTTTACACTGCCTACGTGAGGCCAGTCTTAGAGTATGCCGCCTCATCATGGAGTCCCCATCTGAAGAAGCATATAATGAAACTGGAAAAGGTTCAGAGGTTTGCAACGAAACTCGTCCCAGAGCTACGAGGGATGGGGTATGAGAAGCGCCTGAGGGAACTGTGCCTTACGACACTAGAAAGATGAAGGGAGAGGGGGGACATGATAGGAATGTATAAAATACTCAGAGGGATTGACAGAGTGGAAGACGAAATGTTCACACGGAATAGTAACAGAACGAGGGGACATGGATGGAACCTTGAAACTCAGATGAGTCACAGAGATGTTAGGAAGTATTCTTTTAGCGTGAGAGTAGTGGGAAAATGGAATGCACTTCAGGAACAGGTTGTGGAAGCAAATACTATTCATAATTTTAAAACCAGGTATGATAGGGAAATGGGACAGGAGTCATTGCTGTAAACAACCGATGCTCGAAAGGCGGGATCCAAGAGTCAATGCTCAATCCTGCAGACACAACTAGGTGAGTACAACTAGGTGAGTACACACACACACACACACACACACACTCCAACCCAGCAATCCCAGAGGGGAGTGGGGAACCCCAATCCAGCAACCCAGGAACCCCAGGGGGGAATGCAACTTCCCAGCCCACCACCCAATAGGGCTCTCCCTATCCCCCAGCACAAACCCTTCCTTGCCCCTGCATAATGCCCATCGGGAAACCCAAATCCTCCCCCCTCCCCTTACCCCAAGTAGCCCCTGCTTTCCGAGCCCCTGGTCTTCTCCCTGCCCCAAGCAGGCCTGAGCAAGACCAAAGCCCTCTATCCCCCACTCCACCTCCCTCCAAACCCCTGTCAACTACACCGCAGGAGGGCGTGCCCTCTCCCCAAGCAATCCCTGCTCCCTCACCCCCAGGACTTCTTCCTGCCCCAAGCAGGCCTGAGGAAGACCTAAGCCCTCCATCCCCCACTCCACCTCCCCCTGAACCCCTGGAAACTACCTCACAGGAGGATGAGCCTACCCAAGTAGCAATGACCATAGAACAACCTCCTACCCTTGTGGGGAGTGAGGGTGAAATTGGATATAAAGAAGTGAGCTTCAAGGTAATGTACACAAACATTGATGAGATTACCAATAAAGCAAGTGAACTGGCAGAAAGGGTGCAAGAAGAAAACCCAGCTGTAATAGGACTAACGGAAACAAAATTGTCAGGAGTCATAACAGATGCTGTGTTTCCAAAGGACTACTATATAGTAAGGAAAGAGAGGGAAGGGGGAGGAGGTGGAGGAGTGGCCCTGCTGATAAGGAAGGACTGGAGTTTTGATGAGATGGAAATTTGTGGCTGTGACGGATTCAGAGATTACATAACAGGAACTATAACAATGGGTGGACCTAACATAATAGTGGCAGTCATTTACAACCCTCCCCTAAATGACAGAAGACCTAGACAGGAGTTTGATAGGAACAACATGGCAACCATTAATATAATAGAGAGAGCAGCTTCAGTTGCCTGCAGGAATGGCTCAAGGCTCTTAATCATGGGCGATTTCAACCATGGAAAGATAAACTGGGAGAATGGGGACCCACATGGTGGTGCAGATACGTGGCGAGCTAAACTCTTGGAAGTGGCAACAAGGATTTTTCTGAGCCAGCATGTCAAGGAACCCACAAGAGTGAGAGGCAATGATGAACCAGCTAGACTCGACTTGATATTCACTCTGAATGAGTCAGAAATAAGGGAAGTCAAAGTTGAAGCCCCCGTAGGAATGAGTGACCACAGTGTACTGACCTTTGAGTACTTGGTGGAGGTAGGGATAACCTATCCAAGGATGGGAGCGGAGGAAAAGAGATTGAATTACCAAAGAGGAAAATATGACGAGATGAAGAACTTCCTCAGGGGAATACCATGGAAAACAGAACTTAGAGAAAAGAATGTGCAGGTCATGATGGAGTTTGTCACCCAGAAGTGCCAGGAAGCTTCAGACAGGTTTATCCCCATCCAAAAGGAGAAAAATGAAAAACAACAGAAAAACCCATGGTTCAATCAGGAATGCAAGGTAGCGAAGCAACTGAGTAAGAGAACATGGAGAAACTACAGAAATAACAGAACACCAGAGAGCAGGGAGAGATACCAGAGGGCCAGAAATGAGTACCTCAGAGTGAGGAGGGAAGCAGAGAGACATTTTGAAAATGACATCGCGAGTAAAGCCAAGACCCAATCAAAGCTGCTCCACAGCCACATCAGGAGGAAAACAGCAGTTAAAGAACAAGTGATGAAACTGCGAAAAGGGGAGAACAGATACACAGAGAATGACAAGGAGGTGTGTGAAGAACTCAACAAGAGATTCCAGGAGGTCTTCACAATAGAACAAGGAGAAGCCCCTGCACTAAATGAGAAGGCGGCAAACCAAGCAACCTTGGAGGAATTTGACCTCACCAGTGATGAGGTCAAAAGGTGTCTGCTGGAGCTGGATGTGACAAAGGCTGTTGGGCCTGACAGAATCTCACCATGGATACTAAAGGAAGGTGCAGAAGCACTAAGTATGCCACTCTCTATGGTGTATAACAGGTCACTGGAAACAGGAGACTTACCAGAAAGTTGGAAGACAGCTAACGTGGTCCCAATATACAAAAAGGGTGACTGGCAAGAGGCACTGAATTACAGGCCAGTTTCCTTAACTTGTATATCATGCAAGGTGATGGAGAAGATCGTGAGGAAAAGGCTCGTAGAGCATCTGGAGGGAAATAACTCTGTAACGCACCACCAACATGGGTTCAGAGATTGTAAATCGTGCCTCACAGGTTTAATAGAATTTTATGACCAGGCAACGAAAATTAGGCAGGAAAGAGAAGGGTGGGCCGACTGCATTTTCCTGGATTGCCAAAAAGCCTTTGACACAGTACCCCATAAAAGGCTGTTAAAAAAGTTGGAGCAACAGGCAGGAGTAAAAGGGAAGGTGCTCCAGTGGATAAGGGAGTACTTAAGCAACAGGAAACCGTGAGTAACGGTGAGGGGGGAGATATCAGAGTGGCAAGATGTCACCAGCGGAGTCCCACAGGGCTCAGTACTTGGACTCATCCCGTTTCTAATATATGTGAACGATCTTCCAGAGGGTATAGACTCATTCCTCTCAATGTTTGCTGATGATGCAAAAAATATGAGAATAATCAAGACGGATGAAGATAGACAGAGACTACAGGATGACCTGGATAAACTGGAGGAATGGTCTAGAAAATGGCTGCTAAAGTTCAACTCAGGAAAGTGTAAGGTGATGAAATTAGGCGAAAGGAGCAGGAGGCTGAACTCAAGGTATCATCTGGGAGGGGAAATCCTGCAAGAGTCAAATAGAGAGAAGGATCTGGGGGTTGATATCACACTGAACCTGTCCCCAGAGGCCCACATCAAAAGAATATCATCAGCGGCATATGCTAGACTGGCCAACATAAGAACTGCCTTTAGAAACTTGTGTAAGGAATCTTTCAAAACCCTGTATACCACTTATGTAAGACCAATCCTGGAGTATGCAGCTCCAGCCTGGAGTCCATACCTAGTTAAACACAAGACAAAGTTAGAGAAGATTCAGCGGTATGCCACCAGGCTCGTCCCGGAACTGAGAGGATTCAGCTACGAGGAAAGGCTAAAGGAGCTGAACCTCACATCCCTGGAAAACAGAAGAGTAAGGGGAGACATGATAACCACCTACAAAATTCTCAGGGGATTTGACAGGGTGGACAAAGACAAACTCTTCAGCACGGGTGGGACACGAACAACGGGACACAGGTGGAAACTTAGTACCCAGATGAGCCACAGAGACGTTAGAAAGAATTTTTTAAGTGTCAGAGTAGTTAATAAATGGAATGCACTAGGAAGTGATGTGATGGAGGCTGACTCCATACACAGTTTCAAATGTAGATATGATAGAGCCCAGTAGGCTCAGGAATCTGTACACCAGTTGATTGACAGTTGAGAGGCGGGACCAAAGAGCCAAAGCTCAACCCCCGCAAACACAATTAGGTGAGTACACACACACACACACACACACACACACACACACACACACACACACACACACACACACACACACACACACACACATATGATGGATTATGTCACCCAGA